AGCTGAAGTTTAATAATGAGTAATTCATAGTTCACCTCCAAGATTCTGGATTAAATAACATCACTTTGGCAAAGGTCCATGTTCCAAATGATTTTGCTAGCAACACCAAACCCCTTTACACGGCCTTGGATCTGAAATCAGGGACATCTTGAACTGCTATCTGAGTGATCTATGGCTGCTTAGCTAGATTTGATGTATGCGTGGCTTCCCTATACTGAAAAATCCAGGCCATATTTTGTTTAGCATTGACTTGCCAGAACAAATCTTTCCCTGAATACGTATGTAATAGGAAGACAGAGAAACTGCATATGGATCGCTAAAATGTATTGCAACTGTTGAGAAAATGAGGTCTTCCACAAGAAAAAGTTTTTGCCTTTTCTATGTATGTCTAGGGAATATGTATTTTGAGTTGCTTCCGGGTAAACACTGTGCTGAGATCAATTGCCTCAGTATACTCCAGTGCCAGCTGCAGCAACTCTGGCTAGCTCAAACACCTGAACCACCCTCAAGCACCTGAACCTTTCCATAGCTGCAGCTGGAGTCCAGCTGAGGCAACCCAGGGCATGCTGAGTGGCACTAGCTGGCCCTGGCAGGCAGATGCAGAGCCCCCTGTTGTGTCTGTGTCTAGTATAATTTAGGGAGTCCTGTCTCAATTTTTATTTGTATATAATGTAAAACATCTGCTCAGTGCTCTACCAACATTTAAGCCAGAACATACAAGTTTGTACTTTTCTGCTAGGCTCAGTCTGACATGCATAATTTCAAAAACTGTTCTGAAGTATGCATAGAAGAAACTGTAAGTATGTGTGGCATCTTGCTCATGGAAAACAAACTCTGTTTTAATAGGAAGCAATCAAATCAGAAGACAAATTGTAGAATCACAGAATATGCTAAAATGGAAGGGAACTATGAGGATCATCAAGTCCAACTCCTGGCCGTTTGCAGGATACCCCAAGAATCACACCACGTGCCTGTTAGCATTGTCCAAACGCTTCTTAAACTCAGCCAGGATTGGTGCTGTGACCACTTCCCTGGGAAGCCTGTTCCAATGCTCAACCACCATCTGGGTGAAAAACCTTTTTCTGATATCCAATCTAAACCTCTCCCAACTCAGCTTCATGCCATTTCCTCCAGTCCTGTCACTGGTCATCAGAGTGAAGAGATCGGTATCTGCCCCTCCACTTGCCCTTGTGAGAATGTCAAAGACCACAATGAGGTCTCTCCTCAGTCTCCTCTTCTCCAGGCTGAACAGACCAAGTGATGTCAGCTGCTCCTCATATGCTTTCCCCTCCTGACCCTTCACAGTCTTCACTGCCCTCCTTTGGACACTCTCTAACAGCCTAATATCCTTCTTATACTGCAGTGCCTGAAACTGCACACAAGGTGAGGTCACCCCAGTGCAGAGCAGAGAGGGACAATCCCCTCCTTTGACCGGGTGGAGATGCTTTGCCTGATGCCCCCCAGGACACGGTTGGCCCTCCTGGCTGCCAGGGCACTGCTGACTCATACTCAGCTTGCCACTGACCAGGACCTGCAGGTGCCTTTCCACAACGCTGTTCTCCAGCCTCTCATTTCCTAGCACTTACACGTATATACTGGCTTTCAGCATCCTTTTAATTTCTAAATATGAAATATGTAAGAAAATAAAAATCTCTACCATCTTCTGGTCAGAGCAGCATAAGCTCTAAATAAAGGGGCACTGAAGGTTACTGCTTGTACACTGAAAACACATCTGTGACTGCCATGTGATACATAAACACCCAGGCTAATGCTAAACCTGAATACACTGAGTTATTAATAACAGCACAACTGGGTCAGCTGCGTATTGAGTGCAAACTGATTTTATCATGTTTCTTGGTTAAATTTGTAGCCTACCCTAAGCTCTCTGTAGTTAACTAAACCATAACTGAATAGGTGATGTAAAGTTTATGCAAATAATTTCTGCGCTACAGTTATTGAAATATCAAGGTGTTCTAGATTTGTATTAATGTTTAGATCAGTCAAGGAGGATACTAAGGCATATATCTGGATTCAGGGGCCTAAGCTTCCCAATTTGGTCTAAAAAATTAGAAATTCTGTAAAACATGCTCTTGTTTAGACTTGCTGCCATTCTGAGTGAAATCGTTAAAAGATGTGCAGTTTCTGTTGTATTTTTATCTAAAGGGAAAATATCTTACTTTTAGATTAGAACTTGAAGTAAAACAGGAGTGAGAGGTTTTTGGTGCACTTTCTGGTCTGAGAAGTTAGTAGGCTGCATAGCCAGCCTTGCCATCTGCTTCCTTCTGCACCAGCCTCTTGAAAAAGAGACAGCTCTGTTTGATTGATGTATCACATTACAGAGTCATAGAATCATTTAGGTCGGAAAAGACCTCTGATCCAGGCCCATTGATCCAGCCTGCCCTCCAATCCCATCGACTCCAGCCTTTGATGGACCACCACCTTCTAGCCCATGGCATTAAATGCCACGTCCAGTCATTTCTTAAACACCTCCAGGGATGGGAAGTCCACCGCTTCCCTGGGCAGCCTGTTCCAATGATTAACCACACTTCCAGTGAAGAAATTCTTCCTGATGTCCAGCCTCAACCTCCCACGGTGCAACTGGATGCTGTTTCCTCTTTTCTGTTGCTATTTGCCTGGGAGAAGAGGCTGAGCTTCCCCTGACTATAACCTTCTTTCAGGTAGTTGTAGAAAGCAATAAGGTCTCCCCCGAGCCTCCTTTTCTCCAGGCTAAACAATCCCAGCTCCCTCAGCCAGGCCTCATAAGACTCACTCTCCAGTTACTTCACCTGCTTCATTGCCTTTCTCTGGACACACTCCAGCACCTCAATGTCTTTTTGAAGTGAGAGGCCAAGAACTGGACACAGGACTCAAGGTGAAGTCTCACCAGTTCTGAGTAGAGAGGACATTCACTTCCCTGGTCCCACTGGTCACACTATTTGTGATGCAGGCCAAGATGCCATTGGCCTTCTTAGCCACCTGGGCACACTGCTGGCTCATGTTCAGCTGCTGGTCTACCAGTACCCCCAGGTCCTTTTCCACCAGGAATCTTTCCAGCCACTCTGCCACCAGCCTGTAGCACTGCATGCGGTTTTTGTGACCCAGGTGCAGGATCCTGTACTTAGCCTTATCAAACCTCCTAAAAGTGGCCTTGGCCCATTGATCCAGCCTGCCCAGATCCCTCTGCAGATCCTTCCTGCCCTCCAGCAGATCAACACTCCTGCCCAATTTAGTGTCAACCTTACTTACTAAGGGTGCCCTCAACAGTACTACATCATCTAATTTATCTAACTTCTAGGCACCTAAACCAGTTAATCCACTTGATACCAGGTTGGTAGCTAGTTATTTCTTATTTGTTTAAAGATTTAGACCCTGAAGCATTAGATTAGTCTGCACTCTGCATGAGATGCTCACTTAAAGCAGGCAAAGTCAGGCTCCATTTTGTGCCTTAAATATCTTATTATGGTCTGGAGAAAAGAATGACAGACTGAAACACTTTTCTGCAAGTTGGTCCTAAGGTTGATCCTAAGTGCTTTTCTCTCAACAGATGGATGCTGATCTTCTTCTACCAATGTTCTGGGTTAAGTGCTCCCTGACAAGCCTCTATTCTAGTCCTTTTCCTCCCTAAGCAGATTGGTGGTCATGTTTTCTTCCTCTCTAAGATCTCTCCAGCTAGTAGGTTGCAGCATATTCAGTTTTGTACAGCAGGAACCAAAATAGTTTTTGAAACTTTTTTTCTAGAAATATGACATCTGAAGATTTGAGATATCCTCCCATCCTTGTCCCACACGGCTATACTGTAGATGAGAGATTTTTGAAGATCTCTTTTCAGTTCTAAGCATGGAAAAGGAGATTTAATCTTCATATTCCTAATTGCTTAACTACATTTTCAAAACAAATCATGCTCTGCTCTGGATTTATAATGAAACACAGTCAGGGATTTTTTGTTTTGTTTTTAAGTTTTTTTTTTTCCAAAATAGTTATAAATTTTTTATCTTGAATGTCTTTCCTGTTATACAGCAACAAGACCATGCATGCGATGTAATGATTCTAAGTCAACATTTTCTTTGGGTGCTGTGTATTGAAACTTATTTTCCATTATGTATCTTTCTGCTACTAGACAAAAATTCTTATAAAACAGAACAATTGTAATAATATTCTGACAAGTCCAATTTATATGGTACATTGTCACAAAAGAATACTTACAAAAATGCAGAATGGCTATACAAACCTACTAATATGATTTAGAAACTCCCTGCAGAAGCTACATACAACATACCATTAAAACTGCAAATACATATTAAATATGTGTGTTTTTAAAGAAAATTTTATAAATATTCAAATTTAAGATAAACAAATACGGAATAAAACACACTAGGAAACTGATATGTAGACAAAGGTTTATTTACACCATACAACATTTTAAATATTTTATACACAGCTGCAGCAGAGAAAGCTACTCTGAGCTTTCCAGAGAAAACTGCAATAATAAAGATGTGAAATATATTATTCATATAAAAGTGAGATTATTACTTTATTGCATTTAAAGCAATGAAGAATGTAGCTCAACAGACATTCATTTAATGACAAAAACTTTGCTTTTATATTATAAAGTAAAAAGTGTAGTAATGGCCAAACAGACTGTTATAAACTTTAAAAACTGCATAAATATATACATTGTGCTTCATGGTGAAGTTTTTTGAAAACTAAACCAAATGAAGCTGTTACAACATGAATCGTTGCTTGAGGTTTATCTATAAAGATTACCTTACAAATCCATTCCACGGGTACTTACAACACACGATGGTAAGAATTGTACACCTGGTTCTCCACTAGCTGCACTAGTGGGAATATACTGTACGAAAAAAACCACTGACATTTGGCACAGGAAGAGCCTGACATAAAGGAGTCGCAATGTTCAGACAGAAGCGTCAGGATTGTCAGGATTCCCAAAGTCTCTTTATTGTCAGTGCAACGAATTCTTTTTGTTTTGTTTCTGTTTGTTCAGTTTGTTTTTGTTAAACTTCTGTTTGAAAGTCACCTTCTTGCACATCTAAGGGCAAGTTCAGACACTTCTCCCATTCTGCTGGTCTGAGTTCTAAAGCATCTTTTGCCTCTGTGTCTAATACGTTTATCGTTGTATAGTGTTGGTAGTCGCCTGTGGTTTTGAAACTTTCCCATGGAGCTTTGCTTGGTCCTGAGTTCTCCTGAAGACCAAAGAAAGAAGAATTAAAACCAAAAATGAAATAATGTGATTTCCATGTATAAGGCTGTTTGCTAATGGGCTTTTATGAGACACAGAAGCCAGAGAGGGGAAATGGCTTTGCAGGGAGCCAGGCTGGTGGGTGTTCAGCACCAGTGCGACTCTTTCTCTGTGAACAATCAACACTTTGGCAGGCTCCTCACCTGAGCTGCCAGCTGAGCCCTTTCTTTCACAAGAACCAATGTAGTGAGGAATGGCCAAGTGATCCAGTACCAATAGTCATCCTTCTGATAATGGTTGTACAGAAGAGTGGGAGAAGAGAAGGGAAGGTAATAGAGAACCGTTTGCTGCCTGAAATATGGAGTGGTTTGAAAGCGAGATTGCCAGCTGGATTTTCAATTGCGACAAGTGCATGACAGAAACACAGAAGCCTTGAAAATGCTGTCAGAGCCACCTTGCTTTACATACTGATGAGCTCATGTATATTAGGTTTAACAGACTGAAAGCCGATTTGGGATTTTTTTTTTTTTTTTGAATGTTAGGTTTTATAGGGTAAAGGACATTATGGATTATGACCAATTTAACAGGTGATTTCTGATGTAACATGATGGGTGGGATTCAGTTGCCAAAACCTAATGTTTTTGCACCATTTTAGTTGCCTTTGGACTTTCTGTTTGATCTCCAACAATCTTTCATGAGAGGTGCAGGTCTCCTTTCAGTCCTGCGTCATCACTGCCTGTACCATGCAGTAAACTAAGATGTCTGAGACTGTCAAAAATAGTCTGAGATGCCTATATTTAGGTACCTGGATCACTCTCTGACTGTCTCACAGATAGACCATTCCTCTAGGCAGCTTTTTTTGGCAGACCTTTCAAAAACACAGAGCTGATGCAAAACAGAGTAAACACAACTCTTCCACTGAGATTCCCTTTGAGATTTTGAATTAATTCCAGCTTTATGTGAACAGCAAATCTCAAGTAGGGAGACAAATGAAAACTTTGCATGTCAGCAAATCTCAGAAGGGGAAGTGAGTGAGAACTTGATACAAAATGACACATATCACAGCTAAAGGTTCAACAAAGAATCAGGGCTAAATTTCTGCTGGATTAAGATGATGTAAATGATGTAAATCCATTGGCCTCACATCTGCTTAATACCTCTTCTTCATGTCTGAAAGCAGCTCTTCTGAAAAAGTTATAGAATACAATGATTCTAGCTTAATTCCATTGAATATACAATTTTCACATTATAAAATTATATAAAAATTATTACTAATCAAAATATTACTGCTAACAAATACGTCAGACTAAATTAGCTGTTTTAATTAGGTGAAATCAACTATTTGCTTGCTCTCATTATCAGATGCAGTCAGGGTGTAATGCATGTGTGTATGAGTGTGGGTGTATAAATTTGAATTATGACGATAGGAGCCTCAATTTAGGATGATTTAATTTTTGCTTTTCCCATGGTAAATATTTATAAACCTATTATGGAAAAGATATGGCATTGCAGACATCCCGTGTAGTTTCCAGACCGTCTCACATATAGGTAAATCTAGCTAGACTTGTTCGTAGTAACTAATTTAACATCTCCTTGCCCAACCAGAGGAAAAGCCCTATTGGCCAAATTATATCAGTGAGCTGATTTCTCTGTACAAAGCCCTTTAGACTCAGTGGGCACATGCAGATTTGAAATGTGTCTCCTACAGTTCAGTTACTTGCCATCTATAATGATGTCAGTGAGTTAGTTATGGTCTAGTTGTAAAACCTAATGAGTCTCATCATAGGTTAGATTACTGAAAATATCTTCTGTTCTCATTTCTGAGGTTGCCTAAAGGTGAGGTCTTCTTGGGAAAAATACTGAATTCAAAGGGCTCATTGTTGTTCTTTAGGATCCATCATATTTCAAACATAATAGAAGGAAAACTTACCATACTGCCTGATTTTGGTACATCCCGAAATCTGTCCAGAGTCTGAAATTTCTGATTTAACTCTTGAAACAATTCCATGTGCCTCTTTCTTGTATGCATGACCTTCTGCAAAATGGAACATAATTGCTTATATTTATAATTGAATCTGTTTGGTTTTTTTTTTTTTTTAAGAGAAGCATTATTTTTCTTGACATAATAAAGTAAATTGAATTTGGCAGGGCCATCTTTTCCCTATAGACTCAACCAATGGAAGTGAATTGCACTGAGCCTTCTCTCTGCTCTGTTTAATGTTCTTCCTGTGTACAAGAGATTGTTTTCACCCCACATTTATTGATTTGCTGAAATTAAGGGACACTGTTTTTCCACTAGCTTAGATGTATTCTGAAACTGATGGTGATTTCTCAGAAGAATATTTCTCTTGCACATTAAGAATATTTTCTAGAATTTCTGATTCCAGCATCAACACTAATATTTTAATTTCTGTAGGAAAGCAACAGCAGTTTGTAATTGTCCCTGTCAGAATAATTTTTACTAGGATGCTGAACTCAGAAATCTTGGTTCAAAGAGGAAAATCCCCAAATGTGATGTCTTTTTAATTAGACATCTTGTCATTCCAATCATTATAAAATGCAGTTGAAAAGGCATTCGTATTAAGCAAAGTAGGCACAGTTTTTCAATTCTACTTGCTTTCTTTTGGACAAAGCCATTGGAAACCATCTTCCCTCTAGCCCATGCATAGGGCACTCTTCCACAAAAACTAGTTACATGGCACTCCTGTGCAAGAGGTGGGCACCCCAAACAACTCACAGTTCTCAGACCTCAGTTCACAGGCCTCAGCCATGAATCTGCCTGTGGCAGCTACATGGAAAATGAAGCTGGTTTTCAAGTCTAGGTTGTAAACTCTACCATCAGAGTTGTTTTCAAACAAATTCATACTCAGTTATGAATTCAGACCAGCCTCTGGAGCAAAGATGAAGGTTGCTTACTGTTGAACCAGTCTCATGGTTCGGTGGTCTTGGTGGACAAGGAACAGGAGGGACTAAGGATGTTTCTCCTCAGTCCAACAGTGGATGGGCTCAGCTTGGCTTTTCTTAAGCTTTTGTAACTAACTGCTTGAACTTGAGTTCTAGTCGAGGCAGCAGCTGACAGAAGAGGTGCAGGACACAGACCTCTGTGCAAGTCCACTAATGGTCAAGCCTGACTTTCCCTGGAGTGGTGCATGACAAACTGTGCAAACTTATGCATGTGGTACCTCAGTGTGACCCTTTCCAGTGAGTAACACTCCTGACAAGCCTAGGTTAATACCTTTTAGAACAGACCGGCAGTAGCTGACTCTCAATAATCCTTTATCAATACCAAACTTAACTTTATCTTTCATTTGCATTATGTGTTTATAGATTTCATGAAATGTGACTGCTCTTTGGGCTATGCATTTATACTGCTATGCCATAATAACCATATTATCCTTAATATGGCCACACTGTAGCTTGAGAAATTATTTCATTTCTGAGAACAGGAAATTGGTGACATTATTCACAAAAGAGATGAGATATATCAAGCAATCAAATGCCTATTAACTTGAGTTGTGGGGTGAATAAGGGAAAACTTTGTGCAGGATTTGATAATAAAATTCTTGCACAATGTAATTTAAGTAGAGATAGCGGATCTAAATTTTTGAGAGGAGTTTCACTTTAGTGACTTCCTGGGGATTCTTTTGAGATGCTGCTGTTTTAGTAGACAGGAATATATAGCACATTTCATATACATAGAATTTAAAAAGGAAAGTTTCTACCTCAAAGATCATTATTGGCTGAAATAAGCAGACACGATGATTGGAATAAAACAGTTTTGGTGGTTTCAAATACTGGCTCTAAAAAGCAGTAAATAGCATATGACTGTGAAACAAGTATCTCCATTTGGAAACTTCTTAGTAGAAGGCTAAGAATATAGAGAATGCTACTTTCTGATGTCTTTTCCCGAGTCGTGTACCCAAGATGTCGTTAAATAGCAAACATGAATAATGCAAATGTCATACTCAGTTCATTACATTATTCTTGAGGAGAAGCAGGTGGGAGGAGAAATAAAACACTTGCACTGGGAAGTCTGCCAGAAAAAAAAGGCTTTAAATTTTATTCTTAATAGCAGAATGACTGCTATGAACATGCATCTATGGATCTTTCAGTTGCTTTGTGTTTTCCTGGCTTCCATTCCATAATTCCTACCCACTGACAGCCACCCCCTCCCCACTGCTTATAAAGAACGATCTGAACTGAAGGTGAGGTGCAGTACCTTAAATTTCCAACTTTAACTTCTATTTTCTAGAATTCTTTCAAATTCCTGGTTAGAGAACACCATCTTATCTCCTAGAAAATATGCTCTAACTTGGGTCTTCTCTTTTATGAGAAAGCAACCTACAGAGTATTTGTAGGGGGTTAATATGCTTTATCAATGAAATGAGCAATATGAAAACCACCACTTTAATAATCTTAGAAATACATAAGTTTTATCAATGCAAAGCTGGAGATCTTGACCACTATATACTTTGATGATTGTGATAGCATCAGACCTGAACAGGATGGAAAATGAACTTCTCATGCTGCACTTTGAAAGCACACCTTCTTTAGATGCAGCTGCATATCTGCCCATTAATTCCACATCTCTGCCAGAAGCACCTGAGTTAGCCATCAGGTTACAGACACACATCTTGTGGTCTTTTCTGCAGGTTCCATAACTCTTGTGCCCCATAGCCTAAAGGGGGTTAAGCTGAACTGGCATTCCTTTCACATTTCTACCCCCACTCATAAGTCATATAGAGTGTGGGTTTTGAAGAGACTATGCCTTCCTCTGATGAGCATCTGCTCACAGAAAGGGATTCAGAGTGTCAATGGCTATCACCAAGATGGGAAGAACTTCAAATATAACTCTGTACCCAGCTCCTTTTTTTTTTTTCTTTTTTCTTTTTTTTTTTTTTTTAATTTATGATAGGGTTTTAGCTAAACCCTAACTCAGGAGCAAATATTCTTATGAATATTTCACGACACTCCACCTGGAGTATTGTTCTGGGGTCTCCAACAAAAGATTGACAGACTGACATGGACCTGTTGGAGCAACTGCAGAGGAGAGTGACAAAGATGATCAGAGGGCTGGAGCACCTCTACTATGAAGTCAAACTGAGAGAACTGGGGTTGTTCAGCCTGGAGAAGAGAAGGCTTCAGGGTATTATATATAGCAGCCTTCCAGTACCTAAGGGGGCCTACAAGAGAGCTGGAGATGTACTTTTTACAAGAATGTATAGTGATAGGACGCATGGTTGGTGATGGTTTTAAGCTGAAAGAGTGTAGGTTTAGATTAGATATAGGAAGAAATCTTTTTTTATGAGGGTGGTGAGACACTGAAACAGGTTGCCCTGAGAAGCTGCAAGTGTTCAAGACCAGGTTGGATGGGGCTCTGAGCAACCTGCTCTAGTGGGAGGAGTGGCACTAGACCATGGCAGGGGATTGGAACTAGATGACTGTTAATGTCTGTTACAGAGATATTCTGTGTTTCTATGATTTGTGGACAATAAATAACAATATAATAATCATCATCATTATTACAATGTCATTTAATTTGCCTTAGAGATTTCTATTCTGTCACAGGTAAAAAAATTGTCTCTCAAATATTGTACGAAGCAGCTAAGTGAAAAGAACAGATGGGGGAATGCCTTCCCAACCATATAATGGAAGCATGCTGTGTTTTCAAGATGTTATAGGTATCATCAGTTGCCAAGCTTGGGAACAGGAAGGAATCTTTCCCTGCAGGCATATTTTTTTTTACCTTGGCCTTCAAGAGATGTCTTCAGGTTAGTATGAGAAGGATTTTGAACTTCTGTGAGTTGTAATGTTGTAATGAATAGCTATGGCAGATAAAATTGTGAAGTAATGCAGCTCCAGCAGTTAGTTATCAATTTAGCATTACTGCTGGTTCCACTACTGCTCTGCGGAACCACAAGAAGACATTCTTGTATTCACACTTTACCGGTGTGTCCTTGCTCTCCCTCAGAGCCAGAGATGACCTGAATCCTGGGGAGCAGGGTAATAAGGCACTTTTCTGAATTATTTGGCATAAATGTTATTACCAGAGTAGATCCAATGAACGGCTGACAGAAATGGGAGAGTGGGGTTGCTGGGGAAATACAGCAGTCAGACGCTCATAGAATTTAAAGGTAGTTGTGGTCTTGAATCCTAAAATGCATGTCAATAGTGGTGTTTAACTCTCGTGTATGTTTTTGTGACTGCCAAAGCACACCTATTCTAAAGTCTTCCGGGGAATTTCTACAGCATCTGTATTTCTGTTCAACATAATTCGAATGAATTTTATCTGATCTGACAGCTAACTGTTAGTGCTGAGACTTAATGAAAAAGATACCTGTACACCTTTAGGGAAAAAATGACTGGAGATAGAGGGCACTTAGCTGGGGTTACCACAGCCAGCAGCAGCAAGGATCCAAATTGTCAAGACCAATAATTTTG